CACACACACGCACACACACGCGCGCGCACACACGCACACATGCACACGCATACACACACACGCATACACACACACACACACATACACACACACGCATACACACACACACGCATACACACACACACCCCCCAAAACCCTCCCTTGCTTCAGCGCCATGCACAAGGTCCAGAGGGAATCTAGACACTTGGGAACGAGTTCTTAAAATAACACCCATTGCCTCAAGTATGCTCGACTTCCTCAGCTGGGTCCTCGAGACGCTCAACAACCATCTGTGTGGCTCCGCCAGGACCAGCCTCACTTCGCACCCGCTGCTCTGTCAGTACCGCAAGAAGCCTAGGCTCCCGTCCCTCATCTACCGCGCTCCCAGCACACCCTCACTGTGGCCCACGTGGCACCCCCCCGACACCTGCGCCCCTGTGCCTGCCCTGATTGGCAGCTGCTCTCTGTCCCGCCTTGCTCTCCAGGACACGGCTTCCCCACAGCCCTCAGCTGCAGCTGCCGCTCCTCCCACAGGCCTCTTGTCACAGGCCCAGAGGGAAGGTCAGTAATTTCCTTTTGCTTGCTGTGGCTTCCAGATTATTCTCCCTAGAAACTGCCAACTTTAAATCCTGTCGCCCTCGACCCCATCATTGCTGCCATCAGCTGCCAACCCCTGGTCCCACCCGGTCCTCCTGGACCTGCCACTCTCGCCAATGCTGCTCCTGTCTTAACTTGTGATTTCAAGTACTGAGAAATGATCCTTCCCAGATCCTGGCCTTGGGTCCCTGAACCCTCCTGGGATGATCCCACCTCCCACACTCGACACCCACTCCCAAGGTCACCCTGTCACGACCACTAACAGCAAGCCCCAATCTCCAATCCAGTGCCCCACGCCTTTACCACCACCCATCTTCCTAGCTCATGGCCCTAGGACCTGACTCCAACGATCCTTCCACCTGTCCAGCACCTTCAGCCTCTCAATCCTACTGCCTCCTCCTGACCTTCACCCCGAGGGCTCTTCCCTCATTCACTGGCATAAATCCCACATTGGTCATGACCATGGCGCTTCCACATACTCCAACTCCTTCCCTCCTCTCTCTGGTGCACTTGCTTGGCACAGCTGAGCCCTGTTTAATCCAGCCTGTGCACCCATGCCTGCAGGTGTAGCCAACTGCGGCTGCAGAACAGGCTCCACCACACCTTCTCCTGTCTCTTTATGTCCAAGTCTGCCAGATGCTGCCCTGAAGTCAGTTGTCAGCCACGGCCTCTGCCCAGGCACCATGGACAGGCAGCCCATCCTCCTTTGTGGTGGAGACCGTCCTGTGCATTGCAGGAGGTTCAGCAACAGCCCTGCCCTAACCCCACCCCCTCCGTCAGAACACCAGAAAATGTCTCCAAATCATGGCCCAATGTCCCCAAAGGGGACAACCTAGAGGAAAACCTCTGCTCTAGTCTTTTCACTAGCCCACTCTCGTGCACAGCGACTTCACCCAGCCCCTCTTTCCTCTGACATTCTTCTTCCCCCAGACCCTCTTACGGCTCATGAGAAAAATAAGTACCAGAAAATCACCTTAAGAATCTGCACCACACCATGTGCCGACTCCACCTCCACACCAGTTCCTACACCCACGCCGGGACTCTGCTCCACCAAATCCCTGTCTCACGTCGCCTACGTCATCAATTTCCCCTCTCCACTGGATCATTCCCATCATCAGAAAAATCGTAACTCCCCTTGACACCACCTTTCCCACTTTCTAGTCTTATTCCTTCACTTCTCTTTGTGGCAAAACTCCTAGAAAAACACATCTACTCCTCCTGCCTCCAATTCCTGCCTCTTATTTGATCTGAAACCCACTCTGGTCCATCCTGTCTGTTCTTTGTCTTTATATCGCTTATGACTTCTTTTTTTGAGATAGTCTCACTCTGTCGCCCAGGTTGGAGTACAGCAGTGCAATCTCAGGTCATTGTAACCTCCACCTCCCGGGTTCAAGCGATTCTCCTGCCTCAGCCTCCTGAGTAGCTGGGACTACAGGCACACCCCACAACGCCCGGCTAACTTTTGTATTTTTAGTAGAGACGGGGGTTTCACCACATTGGCCAGGCTGGTCTCAAACTCCTGACCTCAAGCGATCCGCCTGCCTTGGATTCCCAAAATGTTGGGATTATAGGTGTGAGTCACCAGGCCCAGCCTGCTTATAACATTTTGATCACCTTCTATTTTTAATTTTTGTGCAATTAAGCCCCTAATTTTTCCCCTATTTTTTCCTAATTCCTCTACTGTTTTCATGCTTAGAAAGTCTTCAATCTAGGGGTCAGAGAAATGCAGTCCAACATTTCCCCATAGATGGGAAGATTTAATTGTACATGTATGCACGGTTTTTCTCTTTCATCCATCTGACATGTCTGTTGGCCTATGGTGTGAGGCGAGGGCCTACCCTCATTTTTTGTTCCTCAATAGCATGTTTCCAGCACCATGTGCTGCATCCCTCCCCTGTCTCTCATCGGAGGCACTGTGCCCGCTGGAGAACCGCCCTGCTGGGCCAGTCTTACCTATCTGTTGGTAACGCCTCTGCACTGTCTTGCCGTTTGACCCGGGGAGGGGCTGGTCTTGCACTCCCAGGCCGAGGAATTCTTCTAAACCCAAATATTGGAAAACCAAAAAAGGAGTATGAAAGGCTTATACATTTCCAAGTGGAAAAAGAAAGCCCAGGTGAATGTTAACACTCATCTCCAGGCCATAATCAACGTGCTAGTTAGGACGCACTACTCTGCAGAAGAGCAGGAACGTCCCGGGAACCCAACCAACCAGAAAGTGTCCGTCTTTCAACTTGTATTTTCAGTAATTTCAAAATACCAACAACTATCATTAATCAAAACATCACATAATTCAGCTATAATTTTGAATTCCCCTAAATCTCCAAAATATTCTGCATATAGTGATATGACTCCGGTACAGAAAACGGATATTCTTGTATTTTTTGTACAAGTAATTCCTCATAAGTTAGTTCAAGCACTAAATGAACAGCAACAGGCAGAAAGAGAAGCACAGCAGTGTCCTAGGTGTGATCACTCTGCTGAGGAAAAGGGATTCAAAGCACACAGACCTGATGTGGGATGAAAGCTCATTAGGAATTTCTGGAGTCTCTGGCATGTCAGACTTATCTTGGCCAGCAGGTCCAACGTCTCCTTCTAAACAAATGACAATCAATTAGCAATTCACAAAGGAAAAAACACACCAATAACTATTTGAAAATACTATTTGCATTTGTATTTGCAGTTATTTGCAATCAAATACATTTGTAATTGCAAATACAAATGAGCAATTTTTCCATCAATCATGTTGATGAAGAGAAAACCAATGTCTGATACCTAACTTGGTGAAGATTTGGGAAAACGGGCACACTCCAACCCAGGGAATACAAACTGGTTCAACTACTTCAGAAATAAAATTCAAAAGGCAGGCCGATCAACTCAGCGCTTACAGGAAATACAGCCCAAGAGGAGAAATGGACACATGTCAAGATGCTCACGCATCACCACTGATGATACTGACAGTCAGTCACAAAGTAAATTATGGTACAGTCACATGCTAGCCCCCTTTTGTGTAACAATCCAGGACAGTAATATATCTAACAATTATATGCATATGCATATATATACAGGGTTCTAGAAGAATATTTGTTTATGTTATAAGCAGTAGAATTACCAGTGCTTTTAATTTTTGTTCTTTTTTTGGCATTTTTAAATTTTTCTACATTGGTATGTACCATATTATGTTTATAATCTGAACAAAGTTTTCTTCATTTTGATGAAAAGAATTAATCAGTAAATAACAAGGCCCAAACTATTAAGACAAGTTTACTCCACTATTTAGAGTAAAAGGAATTAATACTTCAGAAAATAGTCAGAATTTGAATATTAGAAATATACTTTATATTCTGGGAAAAAAAATCTGAAATGTATTCTTTTCAAATTTAAAAGATATAAATTAAATCTCAAATTAAATTAGGGTAGTTCGCCGGGCATGGTGGCTCACGCCTATAATCCCAGCACTTTGGGAGGCCGAGGTGGGCGGATCACCTGAGGTCGGGAGTTCCAGACCAATCTGACCAAGATGGAGAAACCCCGTCTCTACTAAAAATACACAATTAGCCAGGCATGGTGGTGCATGCCTGTAATCCCAGCTACTTGGGAGGCTGAGGCAGGAGAATCGCTTGAACCCGGGAGGTGGAGGTTGCAGTGAGCCAAGATTGCACCATTGCACCCCAGCGTGAGCAACAAGAGTGAAACTCCATCTCAATAATAAATAAATAAATAAATAAGGGTAGTTAAGATCTTTTTCCATAAAATAAGTTACTTTCACTAATGCACTTTATAAAGCACGAATCTGAGAGTCCGCATTTACATTCACACACATGCATACAATTGATATGACACATAGGTATCTAAGGCCACTCCTCACCTGCATCACTGGCGGAGTCACCTAAAAAAAAAGCACATCAGAAAATTAGTTTTTGTGTAAGTCAGCCTCAATATAGTAAATGATGAGAACAGAATTAGAGAAAAAACACATTGTACATAATTTTGGATGTCTCTAAGAAAAAAAGATCATTTCCTCATAGCCGCTTTTCTAATGTCCCTATTGCCATTTTGTTTTATTTTCAAAAATAGAAAAACAAAGAGCAAACAAACTGTGCATCATAAAATGGTACTATATAGAAACAGGACACAGGGATGTGGAGAAAGCACACCGGAGAGAGGAAGTAAACAAGTTCATGAGACAAGAATCAACAAAGCCAGAGCCACAGAAAAAGCACATCCAAATGTGAGGGAACCACGCAACAGCCTGAACCTGGCCAACCAAATCCCAGGCCGTTCCACAGACTGGGAGACAGCCAACAACAGCCCATCTTATAGACATGATTGGAAAGTATTTTTCCATCAGCTCCTGAAAGCAGAAGAAACTCTTCCAGCTCAACACAGGGCCACCTCTGCACCTTCACCCAGGATCCTTTTTCTTCAAGTGCTGTGTCTTGGGGACAAATGTGACCTAAACAGTCAAAGTAAATGAGCAGTGGCACCACAGGGGTGGGGTGGATTCAAAACCACAGGTGGGAAATCTCTGTTTCACACTCTTAAGATGCACAAACGCATTTGCAGAGGAGCGGAAAGCGCATGGCTTCACATGACAACTCAGGACACTCTACGGGCACAAGGGAGGCAGCAGGGCCTGATGCAGCCACTTGTTTAGCATGGCCCCACCCCAGACAGGAACAGTTCATGCAGCCTCGAGACATCAGCCTGGGTTATTCTGAGGGTCCACACGGCGCAGAGTGAGGAGCGCTGCACAGACACCTCCAGCTCGTTTATTCACAGGACGACTTTCTGTGAGCATAACAGTCACGAGCTCATAAATGCTGCCCTAAGAGGGTGGCTTGGGCAGGCAGAGAGGGGGCCGAGCTTGTGGATCAAGGGGAACCAGGAGGCACTAGAGGACCCTATTAATATGGGCCTGGGAGCCTCCAGAGGTCACACCCCACAAAGTGCCACAGCACAGGGGGCAGCCTGGCACCCGCCAGGGCCTAGGGGACTGCAGGGCACAGTGGTTAGCAGGGTCCTGGAGAATGTGGTTCAGATAGTGCCACTAGAAGCAGTTTCAGAGACCCCAGCACTTTGGGCCAATGCGGGTGGAGGACTCAGCTCAACCCTGGGATGGGACTGCTGGGGACCAAGAGCAGGTGACAGAAGATCTTCTCCTCACGGCTGTGCGGCCTGGAGCGTGTGCTTAGCAGAAACCAGCACTGAGAGTCCTCGTACAACTTGGGGGCAGGCAGCAGACACAGTTTCAAACCCGGCTCTTTCTTCAAAACACCAGGGTGTTCAGGACAGGCCCTGGGTTCACACAGCACTCAGACAGGTTCCTGAGAGGTGTGGCTATTCAGCCACAAGGCCGATACCCCGAAGGAAAGTCAGCACGGTCAACTCTCTACCTTTCAATGGATACTTCCAGTCCCCGTCACCCAGAACCCAAGGCACCTGCCACATGGCCCACACCATCCTCCCCGAGGCCTGTGCTTCTACAGCGCCAGCACTCTGCCAGCTCCTGCCCTCACAATCTCGTCCCAGGTGACCTAGTCCCCACCCAGGCTCCCGCCATCACCCGGCGCCAGCAACTCTCACAGCTCCTCTCTAACCTGGGCCCTCCCCCTACACTCCAGGCCGGCTCCCCCATCACATGCCAGCAGCCCTGGAATCCCACCACTTCTCCCTTCCCAGGGCTCCTCCACAGTCCAGGTCTCTCTCTCTTCTCTGGACAATCTTTAACCCTCCCTAATTAACATGGCCAGTCTTTAAAATCTAAATATCATTATACTGTTCCTCCTAAAGATATAATTAGCCTCCCGCTGCTCTTCCAATAAAGGTTAAACTCCATAAGCTGGCACAGGGACGTGGCTCTGGCACTTCCTCTGGGCTGAGCCAGCCCTGCTACAGTTGCATCCCAGCTGGGATCTTGGTTTATGCAGTCCCTTCTGCCCTGCAGGCTCTCTGGGCCACCCTCACGAACCAAGGCCCCCCTGTCCCAGAATGCTACTTCATCAAATGGTTTTGGTGGATCTTCGAGCCTCATCTGCACCAGGAAGGCAGAAGGCCAGCCTGACTTCACTGGCTCACGCACTCCCAGGCTCAGGGCTGACATGTAGTAGGCCTTCAACAGATAATTTTCTGTTTGACGAATCAACAAGTATCAGCCCTCGCCTGGCCACACCCCACCCTGCTGCTGCCACCTGCACAAGCCTTGGTTACCTGGGCACTGACACTCTTGCAGGCCTGTTAGGAACTCCAACGCCTCAAAACACAAATATTGAATGGCTAGTTTACCAAAGTTTTTTTTAAGGCTGAGAAAATTTATGGTGAAAGTAAAGTCTCACTGAGGTATAATTCAACACTCAAAGAAAGTGATGGAAAAATCACGGTGGCCACAGCACTGTGACCATGAAGTCTGGGGGGTACACCTCTTGGCCGGTGGGGCTCTCCAAGTAGTGACCCCGAAACTTTCCGGGGACCACTCATGACACCCCCCAAGTGATGAACCATGCCACCTCCTCTCACTAATATTGGGGGAGCACACAAGTGGGTCCAATGCTATCAAGAAACCACCATGTTCGATTCTAGTTTATGCAAAAAGGCAGAAGTGAATCACTTGCCACGTTCAGACCCAAGGGGAAAACCTTGGGCTCTGGGCTGCGGCCCTTTGGGAAGAAGGTTCTGGAGGGCTCACTCTGCTCTCGCCAGGAAAGGGCGAAACGGAACCGTTCTTACCTTTCTGCTTCTCTGCGGGGTCGGGCTCAGTATTCTCGCACCGCAGACAAGCTGAATTATCATCTGAAATACTAGTTGACTTAACATTAGCTTCTTTTGTTCCTGACATAAAACAGTTTAAAATTAGTCATTAAGACTGTATACCAAAGGGCCGGTGATCAGCAGCTTCGTTAACATAGAGCACACTCACTTATCTATGTTTTCCCACACTGCAAGTTTACAAAGGACTGACTAAAGGCAGCTTTTAGAAAACATGCATCCAGAATGTTCCTCCCCCATGGGCGGCTCTGGGGTGAAAGGGAAAGGACACCCCAGACTGTGAGTGGATCCTGGGTCTCTTCAGGCCAGGAGGAGCAGACTGCCCTCGCCCCCCATTTCTGGAACTACCTGACACTGCCAGTTTCCACTCACCTCCCCACTACAGCCAGACCCAGTAGGTGAGAGGCTGCAAGTAGGCGGCTGTTTCAGAAACACAGGAAGAAAAGAAAAATATTTTGGACACAGTGCACAGTCCTGGCCATACTGAAAACTTTCACATACTTGTCAACTAATTACTGACTGATGTTCCAAAGTTTATGAAGATAGAAAAAATACCAAATACCTGAGAAAATATTTTTGCTGTGAAAAACAAAAACAGGCTGGGCACAGTGGCTTACACCTATAATCCCTGCAATCTGGGAGGCCTAGGTGGGAGGATCACTTGAGCCCAGGAGTAAAGACAACCTAGGTAACATAGGGAGACCTCGTCTCCACAAAAAATATAAAATTTAAAAAACTACCCAGGCGTGGTTACACACACCTGTAGTTAGCTACGCAGGAGGCTGAGATGGGAGGATCACTTGAGTCCAGGAATTCGAGGCTACAGTAAGCTATGATCACACCACTGTACTCCAGTCCAGGGAAAAGAGTAAGACCCTACCTTGAAAAAAAAAAAAAAGAGGCCAAGTGCAGTGGCTCATGCCTGTAGTCCCAACACTTTGGGAGGCCAAGGCAGGCACGAGCCTGGGCAACCTGACGAAACCTCATCTCTACAAAAATTAGCTAGGCGTGGTGGCAGGTGCCTATAGTCCCAGCTACCCAGGAGACTGAGGCAGGAGAATCGCGTGAGCCCAGGAGGTCGAGGCTGCAGTGAGCCATGATTGTGCCCCTGCTCTCCAGCCTGCATTTAAGAGTGAGATCCTGTCTGGAAAAAAAAAAAAGAAAAAGGGTAGGAGGCCAGTATGGTGGCTCACACCTGTAATCCCAGCACTTTGGGAGGCTGAGGCGGGCGGATCACGAGGTCAAGAGAGCGAAACCATCCTGGCCAACATGGTGAAACCCCGTCTCTACTAAAAATACAAAAATTAGCCGGGTGTGGTGGCATGCCCCTGTAGTTCCAGCTACTTGGAAGGCTGAGGCAGGAGAATCTCTTGGACCCGGGAAGCAGGGGTTGCAGTGAGCTGAGATTATGCCACTGCACTCCAGCCTGGGCAGACAGAGCTGGACTCTGTCTCCAAAAAAAAAAAAAAAAAAAAGATAGGGGGCCCAGATGAGGGGCCAGAAGAATAGGTTCTACATACAGCAGGGCCCAGAGCTGGAAAACTAGCCCACAGTCAAAGGACCTACCACTCCAAAAAGAAACTGGGAGACAAAAATAAAATTGGAAAAATGTTCCCTTTCCTGAAACCCAATCTAATAATTCTTAAAACTATTCAAAACAGCTTACATCAGAATCAACCTGACATTAACTACCATATAACTGTTTTATTTATAATGTAATAGAACTACATAAAATAGATGACATATAATTTTGCAAAGACATTTTTATGAATCTGTGAAAATGATGCTGACTTAGTCCAGTTCAAATAGTTATTTATATTTTATACAGGCTAACCAGAGAATAAACATGAAATATTAAGTTCTTAACAAAAAAAAATCTAAAAATAAACATAAGCTTGGCAGTTGTAGATGATCAACTTCAGAAGAAAACACTCTAATAATTTTAAGTTGTGTACTTGATTTCAAAGTGTCAAATATTTTCCATATTCTACCATACCCACCATCACAATAAGCAAATTATAAATGCATTATCTTCATTCTGTAATTCAGAGACCAATGACACTTTCACAATTTTACCTTTTCAAAGTTCTAGTGGTATTCTTATGTAAGCTTTACTAAACCCCAAGTTCACACCGAGAGAAAGAACATGAAAACAGACTATACGCTCACTAATGATACCACACTGTAGAATCAATTCTTAATCACGGAGAAGAGACTAGCCAATTTGTCAAATAATAGTTTTAAACAAATAAATAATGCACTTATAAAATGAAAATGATGGCCAGGAGCAGTGGCTCACACCTGTAATCCCAGCACTTTGGGAGGCCCAGACAGGTGGATCACCTGAGGTCAGGAGTTCGAGACCAGCCTGGCCAACATGGTGAAATCCCATCTCTACTGAAAACACAAAAATTAGCTGGACCTAGTGGCACACACCTGCAATCTCAGCTACTCAGGAGACTGAGACATGAGAATCCCTTGAACCCGGGAGGCGGAGGTTGCAGTGAGCCAAGATTGCGCCACTGCATTTCAACCTTGCAACAGAGTGAGCCTCCATCTCAAAAAAGAAATAAAATAAAAATGACTATGAATTGGCAAAATAAAAATTTAAAAAAGAGTCACCGCATAAACACAATCTGTTGTCTGGAGCTACCTGGTAACCAATGACTCTTGTAGGTGAGAATGTGAGCCCTGGCTCAAGATGCCCTAGGGTGGAACACTGGCGCTTCCTCTCTCCACGGGCTATGCTTTGGTCAGGTCCCTCAGCCTTCCTGAGTCACAGTTTGCCCCACCTCACGCAGCCATCCTGAGTCAAATGAGATCTTGTGCATAAAGCCAGGAGCACTGTGCCCGGCTGGGAGGGGCCTGTCCCTATCAGTCACTATTAACTGAAACTAAGCAGATATACGGCCCACAAATACAAATGAAGGAGGTCCATCATTCTGCCAGTGTTCTGTGCAAAATTTAGCTACACTAAGTTAAATGTGATCAAATGGTCAGTGTTTAAAAAAAAAAAAAAGAAAAAGAATAGAAAAACATTTCTGGGACAATCAGAATATGGCTTGGGTTTTAGGTGCTATTAGGAAGCAATAACTGAGTTCAGTTAGACAATACTTTTCTGGCTATATAGGAAAATGTACTTTTTATAAAGCTGCATGTCGAAGTATGTAGCGATAAAGTGCTAGGATGTTTTTGGTTTTTTTTTTTGAGACGGAGTCTCGCTCTGCCACCCAGGCTGGAATGCAATGGCCGGATCTCGGCTCACTGCAAGCTCCGCCTCCCGGGTTCACGCCATTCTCCTGCCTCAGCCTCCCGAGTAGCTGGGACTACAGGCGCCCGCCACCGCGCCCGGCTAGTTTTTTGTATTTTTTAGTAGAGACGGGGTTTCACCGTGTTAGCCAGGATGGTCTCGATCTCCTGACCTCGTGATCCGCCCGTCTCGGCCTCCCAAAGTGCTGGGATTACAGGCTTGAGCCACCGCGCCCGGCCAGGATGTTTTTTAACATACTTTGAAACAGTTCATTAAAATATGTAACTAGATGCTAGGTATGGTGGCTTATGCCTGTAATCCCAGCACTTTGGGAGTTTGAGGTGAAAGTGATCCTTTGAGGATCACTTGAGCCCAGGAGTTCAAACCAGCCTAGGCAACAAAGTGAGATGCCCTCTCTACAAAAAAAAAAAAAAAAATTAGCTTGGCATGGTCACACATGCCTGTAGTCCCAGCCAGTCAAGAGGCTGAGACGGGAGGATCACTTGAGCCCAGGAGTTCAAGACTGCAGTGAGCTATAATCATACCACTGCACTCCAGGCTGAGTGACAGAGCAAAGCCCTGTCTCAAAAATACACATAAGAAGCCAGGTATGGTGGCACACACCTGTAGTCCCAGCTACTCAGGAGGCTGAAGCAGAAGAATCACTTGAACTTGGGAAATGGAGCTTGCAGTGAGCTGAGATCACGCCACTGTACCCCAGCCTGGGCAACAGAGTGAGACTCTGTCCCTAAAATATATATATATACACACACGTGCATAACTGTACACTAAGCAAAATGGCAAAAATGTTAGAACTAGTGAATCTGGGTGAAAGGTATATGGGCATTAGTTGTACTATTCTTTCTACTTTTCCATATTTTTCACAATAAAAACAGACAAGTAAGCAAAAATGAAATGAGGGAAACTAAGCAAAATAAAGACATGGCTTAATGTTCCAGAAAAACTTGGAACCGTCACACAATTGTAAAGTGAACAAAGCATGCCTTACAGCTTGCCTAACGACTGGAGTACAGGAAGAAATTTGTTCATGTTTTGAAAAAGAAATGGATAAATTCCTTGTTGAACTCTTTAATCCACCCAAAAAACCAAAATAACAATAAAACACACAAATTCTCTGACGATGACCCAGGCTACGGGCACAGGGCTCACAAGGGCCGGGTCAGTCAGTGCAGCAAAGGCCAGCTTTGACAACATGAACTTTTCCTTGAAACACTAAGAAGGAAAGGTAGTGTGAGGACCGGCTTGTTAATCAGACCCAATGGCAGTGCACCAGGGTTCACCTCCAATGAAGAAATTAAGGAACTGTAACAACTGCCAACAAACTCTGAATTCCAAATGTTAAACCATGGCCAGTGCAAGATAACACCTGCAACTGTGAGGACAGAGACCCCCAGGCCCCTGTTGTGGCAGGACCCCAGGGGAGCAGGGCAAGGGTCAGGGGAGGAGAAAGAGGAGGCAGCGGGAGTCTCTCCAGAGCCCAGGCTCGGCTCCTGGCCGCTGTTCCCAATCCCCTGCACCACCACCCACCCCCACACCACCACTCCAGGACAGCGGGAGACTCTGCTCCCCGGCAGGTGGCATCAGGTTCCATCCCAATCTCTGCAAAAAGCTCAACCCAGAAATCGCGTTTGCAGTTTGTGCTTCTTACTGCCTAGGCTTGTGTTATCTTCACACTTGTCGATATTACCTATAAAGTCGTCACTACCTGTCTGGAGAATGCTTTCAATTTGTTCTAAATTCATTGCCCGTCTCAGGATGAGCGCTGTCTCGCCCTGATTCGGGGCTGGCAGTTCAGCTGAGGTGATCCGTGATAAAGCGGGTTAGACCGTGGCATGCCTGGGATGAGCCACCACTTTATGCACACCTCATTCACCTTCAAGGCAGGTATCTTTATGCCCATTTATGACGAGGAAACTGTGGCTCAGAGAACCCACTCATGTGGCTGGCTCAAGGCCATGAGGTGGGTAAGCAGGAGGTGGGGAGTCGCCCCTGTGGCCTCAGAGATGGGGTCCTAGCTAGCCGAGTGGGGGCTACCAGGAGTCCGCCCCTCAGCCTTTTGCCACTGCCTGCTGCCCTCTCCTGCAGTGCAGGATTGCAGTGTGCCTGGGTGTTTCCCCACAGACTCCTAGGGATAAGGAAAGCTGCCACAAAAAGGAAACATACATCACAAAGATGTGGCTGAACGGTAACACGCATGCCCGCGTGGCAGGGGCTCTCTTCAGTGGAAACACCCTGCTCCAGCTCGGTCACCGTTTACTCCACCATCCCATGCTACTGAAGACCCAGGCAACTCCCATATAGTCACCCCACTTGGAATAAAATAACCACAGGTCATCTTTCACACTGCAGCTGTACCAAGCACGCCCACTCCTGGAAACGCCAGCTCGGAGGGGAACGCACACGGAGAAAGAAGGATGTGCTCATCGGTATTCCAGCTACACTTCAGAATTTGTAAAAGTCAGACAGATATAAGGCAAGTTCGGCCAGCAAAAATTTCCTCTTCCCCTAAAGTCTAATTTTACACTATTTTTTCCTAAAGTGCCACTGGAGAATTCTAATATTTCTGAAGAATTCCGTCTGAAGTCACAGATGACGGTAGTTACTGATACTGAACCAAGGACCATCCCCTCTGAGGCAGCAGGGTGAGGGCTGGGCACGCCCACCACACGCTGGCCTGAATGTGATTGGCTGTGACAGGCCAGCTTCCCAATGTACCTAACAAGCACTTTAAACACCTCTACTACCAGCATTTTCTGAGTAGAATAAAGCAGAGCAGCATGAAGAAATAAAAACCGTTTCTCTGTGTCATCACCCACACCACTGTGAGATCCCAACAGCAAGATTAAGAAAGCATTTTGACTGAAGTGTAAAAATAATCTATGTATAGAAAGCCATATAATTAACTTAAAGCTGAGTTAATAAAGTTATCATATAACTTAGCATATTAAAGCAAATAAAACCTCAAGTTATGTCCAATCTTCAGTATATCAGAAAAAGTCTCATGAACATGAAAGTAGTTAGAATAATTTTTTAACAATGTATAACTACATTGAGATAAAACCATTCACAATAAAGTGATGAGGAATTTAAACTAAAGAATATATTTTTCTTACCTATTTCTGAAGTTGTCGTTTCCTGATTTGGCTCATTATTTATTCCAGACACTACGGAGTCTAAAATTTTAGCTGAAATATTATCCTCCTTCCTTCCTGACATAAAATAGTTAGCAACAGATTAAAATATTATAAAAGATTTTGTGTTTGGTTGTTTTAGTTGGGATGTATAAGGGTTACACCAAGGTCACCAGCAAACTGTCTTGTCAACTAAATGGTCAATTCTCAGCCTCCACATGACTCCCCTCATTAGAGCTTGACAAGAAACCCCCTCTCCTTCCCTAACACTTTCTTCCTCTCCAAGTTTTCCTCCAACTTGTTGGCCTTCTGTTTTCCTTTGCAAGGATGATCCTCCCTCCTCCTCCTCCTCTTCCTCCTCCTCCTCCTCCTCTTCCTCCTCCTCCTCTTCCTGCTCCTCGTCCTCCTCCTCCTCCTCCTCCTCTTCTGACCTGGGGGACCACAGCAGGCTCCAGAGCTCACCACTCCCTTTCCTACCTACACACGCCCCTGGACCCATTACTGCACAAAGGTCCATGTCTGTAAACACCACTTGTATGCTAGAACTCTCCATTTTTTGTTTTTCCCTTCGGTTTCTCCAGCTCTCTCCTGATCTCCAAGTCAATACATCCAGCTGTCTACTAGATGTTTCTACTTGGTTGGTCCACAGCCATCTCAAATTTGTTGTCCAACACAGAATTCCTAACACTGCCACCCATTCCACCAACCAGCGTCTCCCAGAACCTTCCATGTCAATAAAGGCCAGGCCACCCCCTAGGAGCCCAGACCCCCCCAGAATGAATCGCATCTTTGATTCCTTTCCATTGAAACAAGTGGCGCCCCACCCATCAGCACAGTAAACCCAACCCGCTCTCAGCGCTGGCACTCTGGTCCCAACCCTCACCTCCTCTCATCCAGATGCCACGGCCCCTCCTCACTGCTCTGCAGCCTTTACTCCTGCCATGCCACAGTTTTAAAAGAAGGAGTTCTAAAACCTAAGTCAAATCTTTCCTCTGTGCTGCTTAAAACTCTTCAAGAACTTCTGTGTGCACTCACCGTAAACCACACAGCTGCTATGGACCGGGACCAGCAGCTCTGGGACCGGCAGCTCCGGGCCCTGCTTCCTGGCCCAGTCCTTTACCCTATCGCTGTTCCTCTCTCCACCCGCCTCACCACTCACACACCTGCATGTCCTCCTTCACCCAAGTCAGCTCTCTGTCCAGATGTCCTCCCTCGGAGAGGCCTTCCCTGCTCCCGCCCCTCATCCCTGCTCCTCTTGGCTTCATTTTCCTTGAAGATTCATCACAAACTAACATGCACATATGTACCCCTGTGTTCTCTTTATTATCATAAATGTCTGCAGAATCATTGAAAGAAAACTCAAATGGACAATTGAAGCCTGTGATTGACTCAGGGTAGGAAATCCTCACCTGGCCAGGGGCAGCGCTGCATGGGGCCAACATGTCCCTCTGCCCCTTCTCCACTCCGGCCAGAAGGCAGTGTTCCAGAGCTCAGGCCCCAGGTCAAGGAGGGCCACACCTATGCCAACCACCCCCGCAGATTTCCACATGTTCAATGACCAAGTAGAAGCAAAGGACCAGGCAGTAAAGGTTTCAACTGTCATCATTCACTCACAGCCTCCACTGTGGTTCACTGAGCTTACCGAGCTGTTTCATGCTATGTTCCTTCTTAGCTTTACAGTAGGAAGAGTTATGTTCTTTTTCAGGGGAAAGACTATTTTCACTGGTTTTAGGGTCCCTTCTTCCTGACATAAAATAGCACAATGAAAATATATATTAAACTTAATCTGTAATGTAATGTAAAACAGTTCACAAACAAATGAAATTAAAATGTACTCATTAAGGCAAAGTGATCAGCTCTGTATGCACTACTTAGAAATAAGCAAAAATTATAATATTCTTGGGCAGAATGCTTTCTGGATTCTGCAGGCATTCCAGAATGACTTTAAGAGTCTAAGTATGTTTACCAATGTGATACTCTCACACCCTGGAGTAAAGGCTCATTTATCCCCTTGAGCAGAACACAGGGCTCCAGTGTCTCCCACACCTCTGGGTACTCCAGCGTCACACACACCTCTGGGTACTCCAGTGTCTCCCACACCTCTGGGTACTCCAGTGGCTCACACACCTCTGGGTACCGGGCGTTTGCCCAAACATGAACCTACTTAAGCAAGGCAGAATGTTCAGGCAGAGTGCCAGCTTTGCTGGGGGACCCACAGGGAAGTCAGTGCCCAGCTAGCAGGAGAGGAAGATAAGATTCCACTGAGCTGTTGACAGCTCAGGGAATCTCAGTGTCAAAAAGCCCATCAATGTCTGGTAATAAAATCTCTTAAGATCATACAAAAGACCCCTAGAGCACAAGCTCACCTGTAAACACAGATGCACATATCGCAAGCGATTAGAAAAGAAGGGCAGATGATACAACTGTCTGCTTAGGAAGGCCAAAAGAATCAACAAAAGAACTACTGGATTAAGAGGCAACAACAGGCCAGGCACGGTGGCTTAGGGCTGTAATCCCAGCACTTTGGGAGGCTGTGGTGGGCGGATCACTTCAGGTCAGGAGTTCAAGACCAGCCTGGCCAACATGGTGAAACCCTGTCTCTATGAAAAATACAAAAAATTAGCTGGGCGTGGTGGCATACACCTGTAATCCCAGCTACTCGGGAGGCTGAGGCAGGAGAATCGATTGAACCCGGGAGGCAGAGGCTGCAGTGAGCCAAGATTGTGCCATTGCACTCCAGCCTGGTGACAGAGTGAGACTCCGTCTCAAAATAAATAAATAAAATAAAATAAATAAAATATAATAAACCAGTGAGCAACCACTGTGACCAACAGACATATCCAAGCACATGCAACGTGTTCTCGGAAGAGGGGAACACCTTCACGAAGCTGAAGTTAGAGGTGCCTAATCTTCCTAAACTAATGAACGCATGTATTTAACACAAATCCAATTAAATTCTGAGACGTTTGTTTATTTTGCAAGAGTGGAATTCTTGAGTCATGAAGTGCTTTTAAAATTCATCCGGAAGAATAAGCAAATAAGATGGCTTAAAACTTTTCTGAAAAGAACAGTGATAGGAAACTAATAGTAAAAATAAAACAGTGGAAGTAAAAAACACCACACACAAAAAAGCCCATAACCCAGACTACAAAAGGCATCACAGAGCAGGAGAGAAGCGTTCAATTAAGAAGTGATCCTGGAATTACTGATGAATTATTCTGACAAAATAGATTCAGAGCCTCACCTTATACCATGAAGTAAAGTAAGACAGAATATAAGAAATTAAGTAAAAAAAAAGTATGATAAAACACAAATCTTCACCTCTCAAATCTCTGGACAGATCACCAAAAAAAAAGATTAGAGGCCTCAAGCACATAACAATTTAACACCCAGGCAAATCAGAAACCAAACCAAACATAATTAGTAGAAACAAACTGAAAAAGAAACACTTATGCAAAAATTGGCAAACTGGCAGATGTCCTTAACATACAGTATGCGCATGCAAATCAGTAAGAATGCAGACTTCAGAAGTAAGAAGAACCCAGGGAAACCAAAGAACAGGCAGGTCAGAGAAGCCCAAAACATTCACACACGACAACAATTACCATTTCATTAATAATCAACTTTTTTGTTTTTCGTTCATCAAAACCAGCATGCCTTTACGACACTGGAGAAGGTGTGGGGTGAAGGGCCATTAAGGGCGCGCAGTAGCCATAATGCCATACCCTTTGTGCCAGCCACTGTGCTTCTGGAAACCCACCCCACAGCGTTCAACCAAAAGACAACAAAGGCTTCTAGCACAAAGCTGGTCACAAATGCATTACTAATTAGTGTGCACAAGTGGAACCTACCATTTAAGCCTCCTTTCTAAGGGAAAAATTCCCACTACTACGTCTTGCCACCCTTCTTTAACTTATACAATTTAGGAAAAGGATGATTTTTCAGAAACAAGCACTGCTCATTCAAAGTAACTTCATACTTCAATGAAAAAATAAGCCTCCAACGCCAGTGGCCTCCAACAGGGCTTCCCTGCATTTGCCTGACACTCTTGTGTTAGACAGGATTGTGAGGTACTATCCTTCAGCAAACCGTAGGCCAGGCCTGCGTGTTCGACTTTTAGCATGACTTCCAATCATAATTTCTGTGGTTTTTAAACACATAAACATTATCTGCCTACATGCTCTACGTCCAACCTGCACGAGGATTAAACGTAGGCTGCCAACGCAAAGGACACAACTACTGAAATGAAGATGGCTAAGTATTTCTGGAAAATGAAAATTTGATCACAACTTTTACATTTCAACACAGATCTCCAGCAAAGAGGGGCTACTCTGCCCTGATGTCATCAGCTCACACACTTGTGCACACAGACATGTGTATGTAACAACCACAAATCTTCATTATTTCCACACGCTATTCATTCCCAGATACAGCAAGTCTGTTTTCCAGCCACAGGAGTTCTTTCCTACTAGACACTGGGATTAAGACAAAAAAGAAAAAAAAACTAATATCCATATTTTCAGCTACATATATAAGTTTTGCAGTACCTTCCACTGAATTTTTGGATCGCCGTTTTGATGTTTTTGTTGTCAATGACTTGGATGCTCTAGTGGAAATCTCAGTCTTAAAGAAAAAAGAATGAAAAGAAATTAATTGATGCATTACACAGCAATATCATAAGCAGGTTTACTTTTCAAGCTCTGCTTGAGGAAGAACAAGTATGAAATCCAGCAATAGTGCCCATATGCTCTAAAACTCAGTATCAGTAAGGACTTAAGACCTGAGAGTGCGAATTACACGTAGGCCAGAAGCCTTTTCACACTATATTTAGAATTCCATCATTTTGTGCAGCCCTAAAAAGGTCAACAATCTGCTCGCCACACTTTGAGAAGCACCGTCTTGTCAGTTGTGCTCATGAGGACTCCACTTCTGTTGCCATATACTTAACTACTTACATGCGCTTGTAAGCAACTCCGAAGGTAAAAATTTATGTGTATTTAAACAGAACACTAACCAAAGGAAACAGCACATCCTATTCCTCCCTCCACTGGCACAGTTCCAGTCTTACCACCTCTCTCCTCTAACGAGCCCCCCAGCCTCTACTCGATGCCTAACTCAGCTCCCCTGCAGCCTCATGAATACTTCCTGAAATGTGAATTGGACTACAAAAGTTGGCTTCAACCTCTCAGTGGCCCCTGCTGCTTGGGATGAGTGTAACCTCCACAAGATGGCCCATGTGGAGACCGTGGCGAGCCCCAGGAAACGCATCGTGGAGTCCTGAACAGGCCAACCAGAGGCTGGAGGGGTCTCTCCCACTGGCCCCATCTGCCTGGTGACTTATGCCTCTTCCAGACTCATCCTGAGTGCCACCTCCCCCTTCTCCCGAAAATGACAACCCTATTACACCACACATCACACTAGTCATATAAAGGCATAAGTAAACCAGGAGTGCCCCACAGAAAATCAGAGAATACATACCCCCATCTATTTTACCAGGAGGTAAAGCATTTAACTCATTACTTTTACAATGAAATCAAATGGACCTATTACAGATAGGCCATGACCATGTGCTCCTTCCATGCCTCAGTGGACCAGGGGAGCACACAGCATTTACTGTTTCAACACAGCTACAAGTTGACATCTCTTAAAATTATTTTTTAAAGTTTACCTCTGTTTCAGCCTTGGAGTCTTTAAAAGTTCCATCTGACAACTTTTTAGACATCTCCCCTGAGCTTGCTGACTATTAAAAAAAAAAAAAGTTCAAACTTTAGAATTATTCCAATCCGTAATATCTAAAAATATGCCAAGATATTTTCTATAACACTGACCAACAGTGAAATCATTCTTCCCACGAGAACACCACATCGCCAATCCAGCTCTGATTGCCACAATTGTTACTGCTGCCTGCACCCCCAAGAGTCTTCCAAGCCAATGGCAGGGAGATCTCTTCCCATAAGGGCAAAGTCGGTGGGCAAGGACTTCAAATATTCCTGCCTCTCAGGAAGCTATACGAACACGAATCCCTGTGCCACACCGAATTTCCTGGAAACATATTGCAGGGAAACCTAGGGATCTGGAAGCGAGGGAGGGAATGAACAATATAAACCTCCAACACCCACAGAGAAACTGCTCCTAGCCGCCTCTGCTGATCACAGGCTAACTTCATTAACAGAATGGGGCAATTCTTTTTAAGCAAAGGCTTCAGACTGTAAGTGAGGAAAGCACTCTCATAACATAAACTACATGAAAACCGTAAACACCATCTCATCTCACGCCTTAAATCACTTCTCTAGAAGACATATCTCAGAGTAGAAGGAGTAGAACACATTATCTTCATTGAGATTTTCCTCCAGGAAGACTGAAAAGCAAAGAAAGCCTGTTCAATATTTCAACAATTCAATGTCCTCATAAGTTAATTATGAAGGTATCAGATTTTATCAGCAGTAATTACCCATGACTGTAGGTTGGGCACTGCGCACGTGCTACCCATAAAAGAGGCAGTTAAGAGAGGGGCCTGGGACCCCTACGTGGCCAGTCTAACCTAGCACCTGTCCTCTCCACTGCACTCTTAATTTTCCGAGTGTTTTCATATCTACTATTTCACTTCTTCTTCGCAAAAGCCCATGAGGTAGCCTAGGATCTCGTCAGCCTCTCAACTAGACAGAAATAAAATGGGGAAGAGGATAAAGAATGACTGCGGCAGAACCGGGGTTAGAACTTGAGTCTCCTGCCTCCCCAAGCATAGATGTGACTAAGGTCCCTGGGAACTGGGGTTCCTTGGGAGGCGCCTCACAGCAGCTCACACCTGCCTGGCGCTTTTTACCAGAGGAAAGGACGCAGCTGCCTCCCAGACCCATGCGGCTCAATGAAGCCCCCAGATTGTCCACAGAAGAGCCTGGCAAACAAAACCACCATGTGAGATCCACCCAAATCTCACGGCAACCAAGTAAGCACCAGCTCTGTGTAGGAAAAAATCACTTCGCCACGGTCTCAGACGCTTTTAAACAAAACCATCATTACACTTGGCTCTGATATGTTCCCAAATATCAGCCTCTAAGAATTTCTTTTTGTTGTTGTTTGAGACAGAATCTCGCTCTGTCACCCAGGCTGGAGTGCAGTGGCATGATGTCGGCTCACTGCAACCTCCGCCTCCTAAGTTCAAACAATTCTCCTGCCTCAGCCTCCTGAGTAGCTGGGACTACAGGCGCACACCACTACACCCAGCTAATTTTTGTAATTTTTTTTTTTTTTTTTAGTAGAGACAGGATTTCATCACCATGTTTGCCAGGAAGGTCTCGATCTCTTGACCTCGTGATCCACCCGCCTCGGCCTCCCAAAGTGCTGGGATTACAGGCATGAGTCATCATGCCCAGCTGAGCCTCTAAGAATTTCTTTGGAATGGTTTCTCTCTACTTAAAAAGCCAGTCATCTCATTAGCAGTTTTAGGGAACATAACGTGGGGACCCCCAATCCGAAGGCCTTGAGAGCTGAGGAAGGTTGGCCTCTTCCTAGGCTGCCTCATGCACAGCAAAATACACCAGAATATACTGGCGCCTCAGAAAAATCAGGTTCATGAAAAATACTTTTTCTTACACCTCTAAAAAGGAGCAAAAGATGGGGAATGTCTCTGTAATTTCTAAGACTCATAAGGAAAGCCAGGTTATGACACATACCATACAGTACATTACTCCAGGATGTGCAGTGGAGGGGGAATGAGTGACATTTTAAATAGTAAAACTCCAAAATGCCCCGTAGAACACTACGTTCAATTACGAACAAAACCACAATCTTGCCCGATAGGCACCCCCTATCCCATTGTGACCCACAGATCTCAAAACGGGCTTGTACTGACCCCCACAGGAAAGCCTGGTTTACAGGATTCCCCTCAGGGTCAGTCCTGTGGCACCCACCCCCCTCCCCTGGGCAAGCACACCCTGAGACACAGTGCCACAAGACAAGATGGCTGTCCCAGGAGGAAGAGGCCATGACACCAACTCAGGCCCTGCCCCTCACTGCCCGGCCAGATCAACTGGGCAGATCTGGATCCCTTCCTGACCTCAGTGTCCTCCTTCCTAGCAGCTGGAGACAAGATGATTTCCAACATCTTCGCAGGATGCTTTACAATTTTACATTCCCCAAAGAATGGGTGTCTGGGAAAACATCCCCAACACATATGGTGGGTCCAGAAGGAATTCACACATTTAGAAAACAGTTTGAAACCAATAGGATTTTCTAGCAAACCCTAAATTTACCTGAAAATTTAATTAAACAAGAATTACAGTAAACTCCGGTCTTATTGTGCTTATCTGCTAATGCCTAAAAGCCCCTGAAAGCAGCCCTAATCTTTAATAACTGAGCAATGTCCATGCTCCTAAAGACATCACATGCACAACTCAGACTGCACATAAACACTGCTTGCAGTGCTAAGGTGGAGGCTGCTCCAAAGCCTTCAGAGCAATACTGAGAGTGACACAAACGACACAAACGACACGCACGGGAGAAGCCACACATCTTAAAACACCTGCGAGACAAGGACAAGAGCAACACGGCAAATCAGCTCAAACTCTGAAAAATGTTGATTTCTCTACAGGCCTGGTGGGGAATCATTAAACTCTAAAAAGAGCAAGCATTTAATAATATTTTCCTGACTTCCCCCTTCAAATTATCTTCTACCACTCCCACATCAAAATTCCATAAAGGGAGACCTCAGAAACCACTATCAATTGATCGATTTCATCCAATGTTTCCTGATCTGAAAAGCCCATCACCCCTCGCCTGGATGCTCAATCCATTCCACCACCAGGTATTTACTGCAAAGCTGCTGTGTGTCAGACACTCTACCACACTGGGTATCCAACAGTGAACATGACTGAAATCTCTGGCTTATGCTCTTAGGGAGCTTATAATCCAGCAGACGTCTCCCTAGACATGAAGTAGGAAATGGTTAAAAACTCACTGAATAATGCCTTAATAAACGATTGGCTGAACAATAAACTTCTATTAAGGGATGAACCAAAAAAACCCAAAACACAACTGACAAGAAATAAGTATCTCTTTGGGTTTCTATTGAGAATCCAAGATTGTCGTAATTTTAAATAGGCATAAAAGAAAACCAGTTTCCTAGTCACATTGTAAGAAAGATAAAAATCATGTTTGAGACCACCACAAACTCTTACTAAGCAAAAGGCGAGGTTTTCAGGAAGACTTTACCTTTTTCTCGGGTTTGTCATGCTCTCTGTTCTTCTCCCTGTCCAGTTCCCGGGAGTGCTCCCCGTTTTTCACTCTCCGTCTGTCCCTGTCCTTCCCTTTGTCTCGGTCGCGCTCTCGGTCCCTGTCTCTCAGTCTCTCCTTCTCTTTTCCCCCCTCACTCTTTCTGTCTGTCTCCTTCTCACGCTCGGAGTCTCTGTCCCGCTCCCTGTTGCCTCTGTCTTTCTGTCGCTCGCTGTCTGGCCTGGCCCGGGCTTTGGGTCTCTCTCTCTCCCCTTCTCTGTGTCTGTTTCCGCCATTCTCCTTGGCCTTCCCCTTGTCCTTGTCCTTTTCTCTTGGCTTGCTGTCTTCTTTCAATTCTTCTTTCTGTTTTCGATCTCTGCTTGTACTTCTCTCTTTTATTTCAGAGTCTCCTCTATCCTACGAAATAAAAATAAAATCATTTATGAACGTTTTTACCTAAACTACAAAAAGACTCACTATTTCATTTTCAAAGATGTGCGACTTGCAATTCACCTCTGTATTTTTGTGAACTCTGGACTCCTCTTCTCGCACATTCTTATTATCCAATTCTTGAGATCTTGAGGTCAGTGAGGCCCGGCTTTTCACTTCTCCCTTCTCTCCAGCTAAAACCCTCCGTACCGCATCATCACTGGAGAGCTTGTCGTCCAAATGGAAGGAAATGAGGTGTTAGGTGAAATGAGATCCGCACACATAACAAATAGAACATCGCCATTCAAAGATAGCTCATGAGACAGATTCTCTGTCTACAATGAAATTCAAAGGATAAAATATTTTTTGAACATGTTATTATCACATACAAAGCACAGCATATCTTGATAACTATTACTTTCAGCACTTTGGTCATTAACAGTAGCATCCACCCAAGCTAAATGAATCCTGGGTCAAGTCTACCCAAGCTGTCAAATGTGAATGTGTGTGTTCAAGGTCAATAAAGCTGACCCATGCCTTAAACTTCTAATGGGATCGTAGAATCCCAGCCATAAGTGCCTTAAGATTTTATCTAACCACCTCACACCCATTAGGATGCTGCTCCTAAAAAAAACACAAAACAACAAGCATTGGCAAGGATAAGGAGAAATTAAAACTCTCATGCACTGTTGATGGAAATGTAAAATGATACAGCCATTATGGAAAACAGTATAACAGTTCCTCAAAAAATTAAGCACAGATTTACCATATGACCCAATAATTCCCCTTCTGGGTATTTATCCAAAAAAATGGAAAACAGGGTCTTGAAGAGATATTTGTATATCCATGTTCATAGCAGCATTATTTATAACAGCTAAAACGTGGGAGCAAACTGTACCATTGACAGTTGAGTGGATAAACAAAATATGGTATATCCATCACAATGGAGTATTATTCAGCCCTAAAAAGGGATGAAATTCTTTTTTTTTTTTTGAGACGGAGTCTCACTCTGTCGCCCAGGCTGGAGTGCAGTGGCCGGATCTCAGCTCACTGCAAGCTCCGCCTCCCGGGTTTACGCCATTCTCCTGCCTCAGCCTCCCGAGTAGCTGGGACTACAGGCACCTGCCACCTCACCCAGCTAGTTTTTTGTATTTTTTAATAGAGACGAGGTTTCACCGTGTTAGCCAGGATGGTCTCAATCTCCTGACCTCGTGATCCGCCCGTCTCAGCTTCCCAAAGTGCTGGGATTACAGGCTTGAGCCACCGTGCCGGGCCAAAAGGGATGAAATTCTGATACATGCCACAACATGGATAAATCTTGAGAATATTATATTAAGTGAAATAAGCCAGTCAAAAAAGGACTCTCTATGACTCCACTTATCCGAGGTCCCTAGAGTAGTCAGATTCATAGAGACAGAAAGTAGAATGAAGGATGCCAGGGGCGGGGGACAGGAGAGGAGGAAGTTAGTGTTTCATGGGGACAGAGTCTGTTTTGCAAGAAGAGTCCTGGAGATGGAAGGTGGTGATGGCTGCACATGACTGAATTTACTAGCACTGAAGTGTACACTTCAACATGGTTAAGATGGCAAATTTTATGTTATAGGGATTTTAACACAATAATAAAATTATGGGGGGAAAAAACTGATCTAATTCAAGCCCCGTCAAATGCAAAAATTCCTTCTCCAGCATCCCTGACAGCCACCCAGAGTGTAGGACACCTCCAGTCAGGAGTCCCACTCACTCAACGCACTCATTCCACAAGCACACGCTGAGTGACTGCCACATGCCAGGCTCCATTTAGGCCGAAGACACACCATGTACTGGGGACACAGACAAACACAACAATTAAACAACAGGCTATAGGAAGCCTACAGGGGCACCTAAGTCGGCCTGGGAGGGAGGAGAGGCCCAGGCTCAAGGAAGCGCTCACAGACGCCACATTGCTGCTGGGTGAGGCTGGAGGAGGAAGGCAGTTCAGGCACCAAGAAGCCAACAGGCACCAGGGCAAGAGGCTGACGGGAGACAGCGGGCCAGGGCTGAATGCAAGGGTGCATGGTGACTGGAGTGGAGGGCTCAGGTGTGGGAAATGAGAGAAGGATCTGAAGGGAAAGAAGTAGCAGCAGGTCTCTAGGTGGCTCACAAGCTGTGCCATGGAGCTGGCTCGGCCCCAAGGCTACTGGAAGCCGGAGAAGATTCAGCAGAGGAGATAGGAGCCAGATGTGCTTTTTAAAAAGACGAGCAACCTAAAGGACCCGGGAAGGGGAGCTGGGGAGTCTAGGCACAGAGGCCAGTGTACTGGCAAAATCTGCTTCCAAGTCTCTAAGTTTGTATGCTGGACCTGCACCGGGGGGGCCTCCTGCGAGTCAGTCTGACACCACTATGCACCTCCACGACCCACTGCTGTTGAGGGGGCTGAAACCTACCTGTTCCCATTTGGGTCACATTTAAGGTTAGCCCCCAGCCAGCCACCCACTAGGTATGTGAAAAACTGTATTAATCATACTCTCAATACAAGTCCAACCTGCTCCTCCATGGGGGACCACTCGGCCTTCAAAAGAAGGAAGACCCTGGGGAAAGACCTTCTCCAACGTTTGGGCAAACATGGCCCAGGCTGGACCTAACCAGAGAAGCCTGAGGCCTGACACCCAAGTTTCTAGCCCACAATGAAAAGCTCAGGAAGAAAAAAATCTACTCCCTGTACAACTGAAACAGCAACCGAGAGAGAGAGAAAGGGTTGAAGAGAGAGAGAGGAAGGGCAACAGACAAGCAGATACCAGAGGCTGCAGATGCAGGAAGAGAACAGAGACTCCCGTAAGACCCAGGGAAGAAGAAAAGCGCTCCTGCAGCCACTGCAGCCCCGGCTGGAAGCAGCCACCTGTCCTCAAAGGAGCCCCAGAAAGGAGAAAGCCAGAGGGCATGGAAGCCTGGGCCTCCAGCCTCCAGCCACCAGCCGGGCACAGAGTACCTGCGGGGTTCCCGATTTTATGTTGAAAGCTTGCAGAACTTGCATATAAGATACCCTTATTTGTCTCATCATTCAGTTTTAAATTACTCCTCCTGTATCTCTGGGGCTCCAGAAGGGGTGGGATCAGATTCAAAGCACAGTGTTTGACAGACGCCACTGAAACGCCTTCCCTAAACCGCCCGCACATGTGAGTCCCTCACCCCCGACTACCTTTTACTCAAGTACTAAGTAAGTTCAAAATGCCAGGACAGCAGTAGTACCTTGTTGAGACAGCATTTTCCAATTATCTGGAGCAGCTCATTTGTTCTTTCAGGCTCATGCCCGGCCACGATTCGGGCTGGTTTGGCTGACAGTGGCTCTCCCGACACCATTACAACCACGTCTATGGCCTTTTGTAGGAAGCTAATTTTTGCATCTTTATCCTGAAACATTTCCATTGAAAATATAAATATTACAATACTTTGAAGAGTATGCATTATCTTCAGTATGTTCTACAGGCATAGGATGGTTTCTGTTTACATACGAAGCTATTTTTAGATGTATAACAAATCTAGAAATACTGACCTTTTACTGACAAAACAAAAACAATTCATTAAAGCCTTTAATTTAGTTGATAGGCTAGCGTTAATCTTTGAAATACTAATCCCATTTTTCAGTGAATAAAACGAGCATGAGATCCAGTTACCACAATGAGAAAATGAAATGAGGAAGGGTATATATCAATTCATGAATTCACTGACCTTATATTCCAACCACACGCAGCACAGAAATGACACACGCCACACGAGCCGGCCTACAAAAAATCCCATCCGTTAGGGCGAGGGGTCAACAGGAGAAGCCCGACTCAAACCCACCTTCACATTATCAGACTTCATCTCGGCGTCTGTGTAGAGGCCCTTCATGAAACCAGTCATTCTAATCACCTTCAAGAGAGAAAGAAAGGCCACCACGTCACTGCACAGACAGCCACCTCATCAGCCTCATCCACTCACCTCCACACTTGGGAGATGTCAGAATTGACTAGCAGCCCAGACTTGAATCATCCACTTACTCAAGAAATGTTTGATGTCTACTACACGTGTTGTGCAGGGCAGAAGCCAGCCAGATCCTCTCAGAACTTAGTCTGGCTGTGTGGACAGATGGGTGAAGATGACACCATGCAGGTACTAAGGAAGCACTCAGGCTTGGTACGTAATCCACAATCTGGGAGGGGCAGGGGTGGCAGGGAACCCTTCCTGGAGGAATCATACCTAGATGGGGACCAGGCTTACAGAAGAGTTGGGCAAGGGGGCATTTCAGATGCACATGCCAGACATAAGGAAGTCCACACACTGGGCGTGGTGGCTCATGTCTGTAATCCCAGCACTTTGGGAGCCCAAGGTGGACAGATTACTAGGTCAGGAGATTGAGACCATCCTGGCCAACATGGTGAAACACCGTCTCCACTAAAAATACAAAAATTAGTTGGGTATGGTGGCACATGCCTATAGTCCCAACTACATGGGAGGCTGAGGCAGGAGAATCACTTGAAGCCGGCAAGCGGAGATTGCATTGAGCCGCTGCACTCCAGCCTGGCAACAGAGCCAGACTCTGTCTCAAAAAAAAGAAGAAAAAAAAAGAAAGAAAGTCCACACAAGGTCCAGGACCCACAGAGTTCTGTGCAAGGGAAATGTACGACGGCAGGAGCCTGAGGCCAGAGAGACACTCGGGGCCTGATACAGAGGCCCTGTGAAGCCACTCAGGGACGTGAACCGAGCCGAAGGACCACGAGGAGGACCTGGAACAGCCTTTTACAAGAGTCCTTCAGGTGCAATGGAGGGAACAGATTCCAAAAAGAAAAGGAACTTTAGTTGGGCACAGTGGCTTATACCTGTAATCCCAGCACTTTGGAAGGCCGAGGCGGGCGGATCACTTGAGGTCAGGAGTTCGAGACCAGCCTGGCCAACATGGTGAAACCCCCGTCTCTACTAAAAATACAAAAATTAGGCAGACATGGTGGCGGATGCCTGTAATCCCAGCTACTCAGAAGACTGAGGCAACAGAATTGCTTGAACCCGGGAGGCGGAGGTTGGAGTAAGCCAGAATCGCACCACAGGACTCCAGCCTGGGCGACAGAGTGAGACTTTCTCAAAAAAAAAAAAAAAGAAAGAAAAGGAATTTCTCAGCCTAGTTTTCTAAGACTAGAAGTTCTGCAAGGGTCTTTCTCCTCACCACGTGTCACTACTCACTTCTTAGGATGGTGGCAGGCTCCACACCCCATAGCTTTGGTTCTCTCCCCAGTCACCCCTTCCCTCAGGTAACCTGTACCTCTTAATTAGCCCTAAAACCAGCTTTTAGGACAATGATTTTTTCTGTTCCTCTCAACCCCCACACCCAGCCAGGGTCCTGGGTTCTCTCAAACTGAAATTTTTTGAAATGTAGTAGGTTACTGTAAAATCAATAAAATTTGTAGCAACAAGCATTTTGAACAGCCGGGACCCTTACCAGCAGGCTGCATGGTATGTGGTAAGGACAGGTATGCCCACAGCCGTGTGTCCTAGGTCAGCTAATAAAGCATATTTATTACGGGGAGTTGTGTTTTACAAACAAGACAGTCCCATCCTAACATCAGCCTCCTCTGGATTCAAGCCACAACTCCTTAATTTGCATCAAGTTAGGTATTAATCAATGTAAGAGTTTTCATTCCACACCACGCTATGTAAGAGCTGTACTACTATTTTTCTTGAGATGACAGGTACAATATTAAGAGTATCCTGCATTTAACATTCCTGGAACATTTTCATTTTGTCCCTGTTGAGGTTTTCCCAGGATGCTGGCAGTTAAAATTGTGAGCAATAGGCTGGGTGTGGTAGCTCATACCTGTAATCCCAGCACTTTGGGAGGCTGAGACAGGCAGATCACCTGAGGTCAGGAGTTCGAGATCAGCCTGGCCAACGTGGCAAAACCCCATCTCTACTAAAAATATAAAAATTAACTGGGCACGGTGGCATGTGCCTGTAGTCCCATCTACTCAGGAGGCTGAAACAAGAGAATTGCTTGAACCCGGGAGGCGTAAGTTGCAGTGAGTGGAGATTGTGCCACTGCACTCCAGTCTGGGTGACAGAGCAAGACTCCCTCTAAAACAAAAAAAAAAAAAATTGTGAGCAATAACTGTAAGTGACAAGAGACATTAACGTCACAGGATCCACACTTAGCTTAATGAAACGGGGTGGTTAGTTTAGCTATAGCTAAAATACTAATATAGTAATTTGTGTATAATATTCAGGACAGCAAGGCATTTTCATGAGAGGCTCCCCATCTATTATCTGAAAATCCTTTCCAATGTGTCAGTCATTCTAACATCTTTATCAAGTAGGTGACAATTTATTTATCTTTACACAGGGAGAGAAATCAACTTTGGCATTAGATGAGGAAGTCTATGGGAGAAGAGCAGACTAGTCGTTCCTAATTGGGAACACGCAGCTCGTTCCACGCACCCTATCTACCTGGCCAGGAAAGCAATCCCCTTTTTTTTTTTTTTTTTTTTTTTTTTGAGACAGGGTCTTACTCTGTCACCCAGGCTGGAGTGCAGTGGTACAATTACGGCTCACTGCAGCCTCAACCTTCCAGGCTCAAGCAATCTTCCCTACTCAGCCTCCTGAGTAGCTGGGATTACAGGTGCACCACCACATTCAGCTAATTTTTGTATTCTCAGTAGAGATGGAGTTTTGCCATGTTGGCCAGGCTGGTCTTGAACACCTGGGCTCAAGTGATCGGCCCGCCTTGGCCTCCCAGAGTGCTGGGATTACAGGCGTGAGCTACAGCACGCAGCTCATATTCCTCCTCGTCTCCCATTAGGATGCCTCTGACCAACCATGTGGCAGTGACTGGACAGCCACCGTGAGCTGAGCGCCACCACTGCCCCACAAGGATAAGGCACACTCCCTGCGCCTCCCTCTGCATTTCAGGGCTCTGCATTTCAGTGGGGCAGACAGGGCTGGGAGAATAAAGGTTTTGGCAGCCACAGCTATAGCTAGCTGGGCTCACATTGGCTCTTGTTCCCTCTCGGTCAGAGGACAGGTACCTGCCTATTTCATGGGACGGTGGTGATGCGGCACACTGTTCCGCTCCCACCAGGCTATCCACACAGCAGGTCCCCTTCCCCCCACACACTGTCCAGGACAGGCTGTAAGTGCTGTACCAGCTGGGAGGACGTGACCAGGGCTGGCAGTGCCTTGGGATGTGGGTGGATTCGAGAGCATTTTTAGGCACTGTTTTAACACAGAGGCACACGCTCCAGCCCACAAGTTATAAGCTAAGGTAGGAGGGCAGACCCAGTAAAGCAAAGTCTGTGCAAGAATAAGGCACCCAATCTGTTGAAAAGAGTGAGAAACAGAGCTTGAGGACCATCACCAGGTGAGGTCATGAGGCCCTGGAAGTCTGCAAATCCAACCTGAATCCTAAATCCCAAAACACACCTCTGAGTTCCCACTTGCCCTTGGGTCCACCATGGAAATGGGTGCTGCAATCCCCGCAGTGACGCTCCTAAGAGTTACCAGGGAGTTACCACAAGCCTTGACAGGTCCCACTCAACAGGGGATGTTTGTTGTGCAATTTCTATGTACCTTACCCAGTGCAGATCACCAGAGCCATACTAATAAGCAAGCCAGGGTCTCCGTCACTGAGGAGCACACCATCTGCAAATGGGGAAAAGCTACAGAGACCACCAATCTCAATTTAGGGCAGGGTGTGCCGCTCTGTTAGTTTTTCCTGCCAAGTCTCCCTACCACCACCTCCACTAAATTCACCCACAGGCGTTTATTAAGCACCCAAAATGTAGTATGGAGGGAAACTTCGGGGCAGAAGGCTGTATAAAAAATATTATTTCCATTCTCCCAGGATTTAGCTTTTCACGTGTTAAATGCTTCAGGGCAAGTGAGAAGGGTTCTGCAGGGTTAGATGAGGTGGGAGTCACAGAAGCAGCTCTGCCAGGCAGAATGGAAGATGCACTAAGGAGACACACGGCAGGCAGGGAAGAAGTAATGGTCCCCAAGGGCCCGGAGCCTCCCTGTAAGCGGCGGCCCGGAGCCGGGGGAGGGGCAGGACCTCCGCGCGGAG